ACGTGTTTTAAAGCTGTAAAAAGTACACCAGTTTTGTAAAAGAGAAAAAAACTGGCATATTAAAGGCATATTTGGATGTGTATTTATAGTAGTTCCCACTAGATGGCAGAAATACATAATACTTAATGAATAAACACACTGAAAATTGACTAAATTAAGGGTGCTAAGAAGAGCGTATTTCAGAGGGCTGTGGATGTATCAAGATACAGCAGATGCTTATAAAGTTTTGGAGCTCCTGTCTCACAGGCATCCCCACAACTCGGTTATTAAAGCACTTTGTGTCATTAAGGTACTCTGTTGCATACCATTTTCCAAAAGGTGTAAAGCGTTCAGCAAATTTGTACAGACGTTTAGGCAGAGTTGCTCTGGAGAGCATACGTAAAAAAAAAAAAAAAAAAAAAAAAAAAAAAGGTACTGAAACAAATGTTTTTTCTCACAGAGATTTTCAAAGTTTCAACTTGAAGCACACTTGCTGAATGGCCAGAAGGCATTTGCAACATCAGCTTAAACTATCAATTTTTCTCTAAAGTTACACATCTATTTTCATTAACCACAAGGAGAAACTAATTTCATTTTCTGACTGACATAAATAGTTCTCTCTACCAGAGACATTGGAAACAATTTTCTAAGTCCAAGAAATGATACTGAAACAAGTCAGATCCAAAATGACTTGGGAAGTCTGTAACAGGATCTGAACAGGATTTCAAGAAAGATTGGAAAAAAGAAAGCCCTCGTTTGAATAAATATGCTTTCCACCACATAGAGAGATTCACTATTCACTATTCATCTATGCTGCAGATATGTCTGCATTTGCACACACTGTCTTCCTTTTTTTCCCCCCACTGTACACCTCAAATTACTTTCTAAAAAAATAGCACAACTTCAGCAGCAGCCAAGACTGCCTAGGAGACATCAGATGAATCTATTAGCAATCAAATCGTTTCTAAGAATTAAAATGTTGTACAGTAGAATAAACAGGAAAAGAAAACTGATCAATGTGATTTAATGTTTATATGAAAGAATATAAAATCCTTATAATTAGTTAGGTTTTATTTTTTATTTAAGTCATAGTAGTTCCTAAAGTTGATTGGGCTTTGTTCACATGTCCTTGTAAACATGAATCTAAGGTGGTATTTTACATATTTAATCTTCCCCTATGAACATCACTCTGTTAAGGCAATTTTTCAATTATTTAAAGTGTTTGCTCTCACAGAAAATAGAGTAACAATTTTAAGTAGAGGATACAGTGTTTGTATATCATTACTAAGTAAGGCTAGAAAATATTCACACATTGCAGGCATCTCCAGCTTAGTAGATTGCAAGCTACCTAAGAAACAAAGGTCTGATCATTTAAAGTTTAGCTGCAATTCTCACATCATAATGAATTTGTGTTAAAAAATGAGTTTTGCCAGAACCTCACTTCTGCCATTGCAAACCTTTTTTTCCTCCAATGGCACTTTTAGCCCAACTTCATTTACAGAACTTATATATGCACATGCAGCAACTAATAGGAAGCATTTGGCTAAAATTAATTATCAAAACAACATGTAAACTCTGGAGCCAGAAACACCATTCTTTCTTGGAAAGATTCTCCCCACTTCAAGGAAGTCTTCAATCACAGTGGATAATTGTTCTTTTGTCTGTATTATCAAATTTTTCCTACAGTTCTGCACAAGAAGTATTTATTTTACATGTAAGTATCTGCTCAAATGTTACTTTTTGCAAAACGGTGCTGAAAAAACATCAAAGGGATATAGATGCAAATGGACTTCATTAGAAAACAGTTATGTTTTTAACTGTAGAGCTTTAAGTATTAGCATAAGCAATTTAACACCACTGACTACTGAAGTAATATATACCACTGAACTACTTAGATTTAAATTTTTAAATTTTTAATTTTTTTCTTAAAAAAAAATAAAATTAAAAAAAAAAAAAAAAAAAAAAAAAAAAAAAAAAAAGGTAGGTACTTGACCTGAAACTAATACAGTGAAAACATTCTCCCTAGCCCTCCACCCACACTTCTGCCTTTCCACTGTTACCTATAAACATGTCGCAAGCATTTCAGCTCCTTCAGGAAAGTAAATTCTCTTTCAAAACTATGAAGGAGTACTCTTCATTAATACACTTCTGTGTATTTGCTTAAAAACTCTTTCACCACAACAATTCCAAATGACATTTTGCTGGTTTAAATCACAGACCCCAATAATTCACATTTTTAAATAAGTAAATTATTTCATTGAGAATGATTTTCCCTAAAGTGAAAGCTCCTCTGGAATAAACATAAAAGAAGCAAGTGTAAATGCTCAAACCTCATAAATATGTTGCTCATAAGCCAGCTACATAATAAAAAATTAAACAAATCTGTGTTTCAGCAGGTGATAAATACCTCTAAAAAAGGATTCAGTCAGAAAACAAGTGGGACTATAAAGAAGAAATCCAGAAGAAGTGAAATTGGTGCAATTACGAGAAGAGGAAATCCTTTTAATACGATAAATAAATATAATTACAACATTTAACTTCGCCTGCAAAATAACATGGATCATATACAAAGTATTCAGGGAAAGCTGATAAACATGAAGGCACTCTCATTATTCTTGTTGGTTCTGTTAGATTGCTGTGTCACCAAGAGCGAGTCATTTACACAGTCACTTTCATAAAGTATATTAATTCCAACTAATTATCTTTTTGCATAATTTTTTAGTTTTTTTGTTTGTTTTTTTTTTGGCTCATTTCATATTCATTTTCTATGGATGCTAGTTTTTGCTCTCAGTTCACCTTCATCTCCAATGACTGAAATCTGAAAGCTGTGGGAATCTATGTTACATGAGATTCAAGTATGAAAACACATCCTACTAAATCACAAACATAAGATTCTGGGATTTTCAAATCTGGGAAAACTGTTAGTGAAATGTGAATTTTCTTCTATGGATTAGTTCATTTGTTATTGACACACTTTCTTTTCAATTTTATTTCCTATAAAAAGTATGGAACTTTATAACATTTTCTACTTCAAAATTTTCGTTTAATAAATATGGTAGAATGCAATTAAGACTTTAACGATATGAGGATCTGTAATCATCTTTTTTGGCTGCTTTGCTGCTTTCTTCTTTGGTTTATAAATAACCGCTAATGTATATAATGAACCTGAACATGGTTATGCAATCTATTAGTCTCTTTTCATACAGCACTGAATTATTGATAATTTCTGCATATTTGTATTTCTGTAATTGAGAATATCATAATTTTATTTTAAATTCTCTGTTTCACTTTAAGTTTTACTGCTTTCAGTTTTCAGTGACAACAAGCAGTAATGTTTCTATAGAAATGATAGATAAATGGTGAGTTTTCATTTGTTATCTAAAAATATAGCACTTAAAAAGCATGACATTTTGGAAAGTTTTCTCCAAACAAAAGTTCCGAAATTTTGATCCTCATTTTACGTAACTAGATAAAAATATGCCACTGGTACAAGAAACTTAGTATACCATAGTACATGACCATTTTTAGTTTTTTTTTTTTTTATCTACTTTGTTTCATTTTGTGATCTTTTCTGTGTGCCATATCTTTTTCCAGTGCACTCCTAGCAGTCTTTCCTACCCAAGGTTTGAGACCAGTAACATCTATCCAAATCTCCCAAACATATTGTTCCAATGTCTTTAAAATTTTTCTTAATTGGCACAAAAAGTGAAGGAAACCTCTTGATTTCATTGCTGATGACTCATGAGAGTAGATTTCAGTGAATAAATTGCTAGAATAATCTGTTCAAGTAATAATTATACTATATTCCCCACTTTGTAACAACAGACACATATTAAACTGTGTTCTCTAGATGGACCTTACCAATGCCTATGGGAGGAAATCATATTCATAGAATCGTAGAATCACCAAGATTGGAAAGGATCTCTAAGTTCAACCATCAAACCATCACCACCATGCCCATTAAATCATGTCCCTAAGGTCTACACAGACATGTTTCTTGAATGCCTCCACGTGTGCTGAGTTCATCACTTCCCTGAGCAGCCTGTTCCAATACTTGGCCACTGTTTAGGAGAGGAAGTTTTTTCCTAACAATCAACCTTCACCTCCTTTGGTGCAACTTGAAGCCATTCCCTCTCATCCTATTGCTGGGAAAAGAGGCTGAACTCCACCTTCGTATATTCACCTTTCAGAGTATTGTAGAGAGCAATAAGGCCTACCCTGAGCCTCTTCTTCTCCACACTAAGCAATTCCACTTCCCTCAGCTGCTCCTCATAAGACTTGTGCTCCAGTTCCCTCAAAGCTTCATTGCTCTTCTCTGGACATGCTCCAGGGCCACAGAGTCTTTCTTGAAGGAAGGAGCCCAAAACTGAATACAGTACTCAAGGTGTAGCATCACCAGTGCCAAATACAGAGGGATGATCACTTTCCTGCTCTTTCTGGCTAAACTGTTCATAATACAAGCCAGGATGCCACTGGCCTTCTTTGCCAGCTGGGCACAGTGCTGGCTCATGTTCAGGTGGCTATCAATTAACATCCCCAGATCCTTTTCTTCTGCCCAGCTGTCCAGCCACTCTGCCACAAGCCTGTGGCACTGTATGGAGTTGTAGTGACCATAGTGCAGGACTAGGCACTTGGTCTTGCTGAACTTCATCCCATTTACCACAGCCCATTGATCCAGCATATCCAGAAGTATCTTCTGACCCTCAATTAGATCAATATTTCCTCCCAACTTGGTGTCATCTGCAAAGTTATTGAGAGTTCAACCAATCCTCCTGATCAAATCATCAAAAAAAAATATTAAAAAGGATTGGTCCCAATACTGACCTCCATGGGGAACACCACTCATGACTACTCACAAGCTGAAGGGTCATTTTTCTTGATTGACTTAGTGCTTTTTTCTGACATAACTCACCTGTCTACTGAAATGGTAGAATCACTTCATAAGGTGAAAGCATTACCAAAATATGCCAAGTTTAGGTATTTCTATGATAGTTATTAAAAAGAGAAACTCTGTTACTTACCGAGCCAACTTCTGTTTAAATATACTGAAACAAACACTGGAGGGACCGTGAAGAAATCTACTACTGAGTTAACTTCCAGCCAAAACCATAGCTTGTCATTGGCTGCTATGAACTGGGGGAAAAAAAAAAAAGAAAAAAAAAAAAAAGAATCAAGTTAGATTTGTGGTGTGTACTTGCATGCAATACTTTCCATTATAAAATATTAAACTTCAAAGCTAGTTTAATAACTAGCTCCAGAAGACACCTTCTCTACTGATTATGAAATCAGCATTGGGAAACTGGGAAACTTAGATTTCAAATACATCTTTGTGATCATCAAAGACCATTTTTATCTGGTGCTTAGCGGGATTAAACAACTGTTCATATTCAAAATATGGATAATTTTTTTAAAATATTAAATAGATATAAATAAATATAAAAGTTTAATGAATTATGAAGATATTTACTGAACTGGTTTTACCCATGCAAGACTTGAATCTTAGACTAACATATTTTAATTATTTTTTTTTTTTTTTGAATGACAGAAAATATACCCTGTCTAACTTTCAAAGAAAGTATTGCTATTCCATTCACTTAATCCTCTTTCTACAATTACATTAAAATTTTATTTAAGGGAAGCATTTGGATAAGGGGATTCGACTTTTAAGATTGTTGAAGTCATACTTGAAAAAAAAAAAAAAAAAAAGACAATACGAGCAGCATTTGCTCAGAGAAGATTCAAAAATGGAAATGTATTGACATTTTGTTATTCTATATTATACAATTAATCAAAGCTTTAGCATGAAAACTGAGCAAAACATATCCAGTTTCATCAAAACCTTTCAACTCCTTTTTAACGAACTTAAAAGTAGTCACAATATATGGAATGCAAACCTTTTCAGGATCTCAGGTTGGTATTTTCTGAAATCATGTTTGATCTAATCAGCATTTCATCACTTTGTGAGGGACAACATTTTTACTCTCAAAAACGTTAAGAGGTGTTACTCAAAAACAAAAACAAACAGCATTGACTATAAAGGCCACTCATAGTTTTCTTGAAAGTATTTTAACAGCTATTTATTTAGATAATTAGCAACTAATTGAAGCACTTTACATTCCAGAAGTGTGCTTGAAGAGATAACATGGTTTTCTAGAAGCAGGAGCACAATTCTGTGTCATTCATTTGCCAGACTATTGCTTGATTATCTGCTAACTCATGCAATCTGGGCTTAGTCTTCATCAGCAGATCATAGATTTCTTACTTCTCACATAGTGAGTTACTAGCCCATTAGGGCTTTAAAATGGATGTGTGTGTTTGAACGTAAATATCATCTGGAACTGAATATATGGTAGTATCTTCATGACTTTGAATTGTGACATCATTTCAGGGAGAACAGATGGGAGAAGATGAGATTTAAAATATTTATTCAAGTACTTTAATTTGCCAGTGAATACTCACAGGACGTATTTGTCTGGAAAAAAAAAACAAAAACAAAAAAACTTAAGTAGCTAAAGGTATGAGATGCTTGTTAATTCAGCTTGTTAAGCCAGCAAATTCATCACTGACACAATCCTTGTATGCAAACAAGCTGAGTATCATTTGTTTCTCCAGGAACTCCTGTTCAGTACAGCAGAATGCGTTGGAGAATGGATGCTGTATGTATATAATCATTTTAATTTACACAGAGAGTACCAGTTCTGATGCAAGCCCTTAATATCTTTGCTTACTATACTTTGGCTTGCATCGCAAAGCAGTTTTGGATAACACAAACATTTGATTTGGTTGAAGCAACAACTGAAAAAGTTATTCTAGTAGCCCATCTCACAAACTATAACCAATAAAGTACATTCAGTCCACAGGATCAGAAGAAAGAGAGACAATGTTACTCTCTCCTTTTAAAAAAATATAGTACACATTTAAAAGCATTAATTAGCATCAGTATTCACTGCTACTGTGTTCTTCCAGTTAGCGCAGCCCAAGTTACTACTTTGAGTAGGTGGCCAATACACAATTTTAATTCTTCTGGTAAGAACATACTACCACTAACATAAATGTTAAAAAGTATCTGAATACTTCTAAGTAGAGGTTTGTTGGAAACTCATAAGTATCATGGATTGAAACTTCTGTGTCAAAAGGTCAACCTGTACTGAAGTTCTCCTGAACAAACACTGAATAATTACAAATTACTATGCTATATGTTTTTAAAAGGCAGCACAAACTGTGTATACAGTGGTGCAAACACTGACAGGAATCATCTGTACAACTAAAGGATAGAAAAGGAAGGAGGGAGGGAGAGGAGGAAAGATTCAAAAACAAATAGAAAATCCTCTTGCATTACAGGCATTATGGTCCCAAACTTAATGAAAAAGTGTATCTTCCTTTAGAAATCCAAACTTAGATTTTGAAATTGTATTACTGCATTTTCAGAAAGTGAAAAGCATGTTCTACGGATACATGTTGACATTCAGCATGTTGACTGGTATTTACAACTTACACAAAATATTCATTAGCAGTCTGGAAAAATGGAAGTGCATAAAATTGAGATTGGCAGCTCTACCAGCTGTTATCTCAACTTGCAACTGCCAAAGACAGATCTAACAGCACAAAAATAATTCAAGTACTTCCCAGTTTTGCTGAGGTAGTTATCACACTGAATATACTGAAACGCAGTTTGATTATATTGACCTACATTATAATAATTTCACTTTCTACTGTACTTGAAGAGACAGACATAGTAGGGTTGAAACCAGCCATTCAAATTTATAAAACTCCTATCTCCTTATCTATCTTATCTGTTTATCACTTAAATATTCCAAACCAAAAGCTTTGATCATGCATTTTAGAAGTTGGCTTATTTTTTTTTATCATTCATTGTTAATTCTGTCTGTCCTCAAAGACAAACTACTTACACGCAAGCCGAAGTAGAGTAGGAAGAACACATTGAAAGCCATGTCAATCTGTAATGTGAAATCTTTGTAGAAATTCTGGCAGGATTCTATTGGGCTATTTGAAAGAAAAAGAAATCAGAGTAAATTGTCAGTATATGAGTTTCTGTTCTGGTGAGATTTTAATGCATTTCATTTTAAAACCTTGATTCAGAAATTACTTTTTTTTTTTTTTTTTTTTTTTTTTTTTTTCTTCTTAATATTTCAGTCTTAATATTCACCTGTTCAGGTAATATCTGAAAATTAACATGCAGATACCTTCAAGAAAAGACAAGCAGGAAAATATTTTAGGATTCCTTAAACCCATATTAACCCTTAAAGAACTGACTTCTTTCTATAGCATACATGCCTACTACATTTTAGGAAGAAATCTGACATGTGCACAGCTACAGTGAAACTTTATGTTTTAAATTTACGTTTTGATGTAAAAACTTTAAAAAAGAGAAGTAGCTGTTTAGGAATGTACTACTCATTAGCAACCTGGGGCATTAAGTCTTATAGAATCAGTTGTTTACAGTAAGCTTTGTTTTACTTTTTTTTTGTTTTTACTATTTATGTACTTGATATACAGTACTATAAAGCTGAGTAGAAAAGCAGCATAGCCCACTGTTAAAGTTATACAGGAAAACAAATCGAATAATTTGAAGCAGTACTGTAAGGGTTAATTTCTGCATGCAGGTTATTTAAACACCTTTCTATGTATCAGGCAGCCATTGCAAATTCTTGCTTACTATATTATGCTTTATTTAACAGTGAGACAGGTCCAAAGCATACTCTATACAAACTGGTACTTAATAAATACACTTTATCTAAGGAAGAAATAAATTCCAGAAGTGGGATTAGTGATTTATTTGTGAAGTCAAACAGGACGGTGAAGCCACAGAACAACGTTGAAGTTACAGACTGAAGTGAAAGTCATGTCCCAATATATGCTGATGTATATACTACATATACATATGATGTCCCACTATATATACATACATGTACACACATATATTGCAAATGATCATGTATTCATCATAACTAATAAAGTGGAGGACTAGAATGTGGATCACTGGAAACCTAGAAAATGTTCTATGAGGAAAGAAATTCTTTGGCTTCACAGGTCAAATAAATCACTGAATGTGACTGTAATACCAGTTAGTATAGCTGCAGGTCTGCAAATATAATGCTAGACTGCTCAACAAGCAAGATTCTATGCGTTATGAAGGTCAGTTACCTAATATAAGGCATAAAGGAAATAACAGGGGCTAATAGGCCATTACACATGCAGCCAAGTTTCCCATTCCTTGTATACATTACAGGTCAAACAAGTTAAGTACAGCATGCCCTCTTTTGGCTTTAGATGCAGGAATGCATACAGCAAATTCTTCTTGATGTACAATAGCTTTATAATTTAAGAAGCCACAGTGACACAGGAAATTATATTAAAATGTTGAAAAAAAAACTATAAAGACATTGTAGTTATGAAATATTTCTGTTATAGATCAAATAAAATTGATTTAGAAAAATAGGCAGAAGGGAAGAGAAGCCGAGTTAACATATAGGATAGAAAACAGCATCTTGTACTTTACAAACACAGTTTTTGCTACAGAGAATGAAATCCAATAAACCAGAATGCTCGGTTTCTGTATGGCATTATAGAGAGTAAAGTATTTTGTTAAAATAAAGTAGGCTACACACTGAGTCACGATGCACCCTACCAACAGGTACCGCAGGAAGCACAACAAAAGCAGAATGAACAATCCAGTATCTACAGAGGCTGGGATCCCTAACTCAAGGTTAAGTACCTGTAAAAGCCCCAGATACTCAGTGGAGTTAACGGATTTGCACAAACTTTTAACTCCAATGGAGATAGCTCCATTATCTTTAACAGCTATTTGGTACTTATCATGAATGTTAATAAGTTCAGCTGAGGTTGCAGCTAACTGCTCTTCTTTAGCACCATTGTCCTTCACAAAAAACACAAAATCTCACAAATTAGTTAATATATAATATATAATCATCATGTTTACAAAATACTTAGTAGTATTAGCCATTCTTAACAATGGAACACAATCCTAATTTCGCACTGCTGTTTACCAGTAGCTCTGGTGAGCTAATCTCACTGTTAGTTCTCTTCCTAAGGCACCCTTCATTTCAGATATTGTCCCTCTTTTCAATTTCTAAGTTTCTAGATAACAAATTCAATGTCCTATCCTTTTTATTTTAAATAAAGATTGTCAGAAAGGCATGTCACTAAGTCTGAAGAAATCTTCCTTTATACACACTGGATAGTGGATGCATTTTGCTTTCCAAATTAAATTTTGGTGACACTACTCACCAAACTTGGATTGTTTGTTTTCATCTGTACTTCACATTTGGGATGAGAAAAAAATACAGCTACTAATCTTTATCAATGCACTAATCAGCATTCTGCAAAAAAGGAAGCCAATTTGAAACCCCTTTGCACTAAGTTTCCCAAAAACTAAAAAGCTATAGTTCTTGCAATGCTAGGCAGATGTGAGCTAGGATCTCCAGGACTGATATTTCCTGTAGTGTGCTATAATCAGATGGTTTTTCCTATGGGATTTCACCATTTTAGGCCAGCAGAGGTTTCACCTTAAAGGAGGCAACACTGTTAGAACCTTTATTTTTCTACTATGTAAGTGTGGTTCATTTTAAGTGCAGTTTCACGTAAGTATGCTGCAGGAGAAACTACAGTTAAAAACAACGGAATAACATTACGGTCACAATACGGAAGATGTAATATATAAAACTAATAGAAGTAATGTAAATGTAAATGCAAAGTACACTTGATTTGAAGCTGATGGCTTTATTCAGGTCAATGCTTATATAAAATTATTCACCATAACTGTGAGCTAACATTCAATACAAAAGCTCCATATAGACTGCTAACAGTGGAGTTAGTTTACTCAATCAGCAGTAAAGACAGAGCTTTACTTTTGTTTGCCAAGCATGGGCAATCTCTCTATTAATTTTCTTCCTTTTCTCATGCTCTTTGAACATTGTTACTCATCCCAGTTTCACACTAAAACTTTATTTACCTGTTCTGTTTATTATTACAGCATTTTTATGGCAATACGAGTCTTCAAAAGCCCAGTAATAGAAGTATCATAGGTATAAATCCATTCACTGAGCAGGAACAACTGCATGAGAATTAAGAAAATTGCTCTAATTTAAACAGATGAGTCTAAATTTTGATATTTCCAGCTCCATTAAACCTTTCCTGCAGCAGGTACAGAAGCTGGCACTATGGAATGATTTTACCACAGCTGAGCAAACAAATGAACCACAGTTTTATTTTACTTCAAAAGAACTTACCAGTGTTCAGTTAGTTACTGTGGTCACTAATTCCTATATACTTTTTATATTCTCACTTATTTCTGGTTAGTTTGAAATGTTTCTAATGCATTTGGAACAGTTCTGCTGGGGTTATTCTCTGTATAGTCATAGAACAAGTGGGAGAGGGCAAAAAATTGCATGCATTTTAATGCTTTCTGAAATTACTCGTTTCCACAAGAATACATATATGAAACTTCCCACAGAACTCTTCAGAAAATGTTTCCAGTATTCTGGAAAGCAACTAAGCTGAAAACCTCATGCGTATTTTTTCTGTATCATTTCATCTCTTGATAGATGCTGCACAGCTCATTTTTAATCACAGCTCAAAGCCTGGGCATCATATATCAATTTGTGCTACAGTGCAATCACTGTCATGAATACCACATAGAAGTAAAAGGAAACAATTCTGTTAATCTGTTAATTCAGAATTTATGCCAGTGTTGTGCATATCCAACTCTGTACTCGAAGTAACCACCCAATATGCAATCTTCATGTCTGTATTCCAGTCCTCCTATATAAGGAAGTGGACTTGTGTTTTAGGACATGATACATCATCATATCCTCCCATCCTTTCTCTTAATGGGAAGACCTACAAGACGATCCTTACTGTCATATTAATCTGGTTACAATTTACAAAAGATTTTGATGATAAATAATGCTATGCAAAAGATATATGCAACTCCTTAAAGAAAAATGACTTGTCCTGCAATTTCAGCAAAGACCAATACTAAAAGATGTTAGTATCACACAGGCTTCCACCTTTAGAACTTTAAGAAGTTATTGAAAACTTTAGAAATTGAGAAAATTGTCCTAAAATAATGTCTTAATTTTTGAAAGCAAACTTATCTTCTAAATAGAAGTAGAGAAAAAGCTAAGTCCATAATTATAATTGCAAAAGGTATAATATAATAAAAAGTTAATTAAATAATATGTAAAATTGAGAAATTTGGAACTAAAATAAACATCGTTACAAGCTTAATTTGTCTGAGAAATAAAACATCATACTATGAAATTTAAATTTTCATTGTTCATGAAAATTCTTAGTTTGCCCATTACACAAAAAAATAGAATTATGTTCACTTTCTTTTAGAAAAAAAGAAATTCAATGATGATATTGAATTTTAAGATCAAGCGATAACTATGTAATGAAATACCAGTAGAGATGGCTGAAATACAATCAGCACACATAAATAAAGGAGAGAAATCACTCAATATATAAAAGTTCTTTAGAATCTTATCACTTGAAGACATTCCACTCACTTGGTGATTTCAAATTCGTAATTAATTAAGATCTATTAGGTACAGAAATTCTCTTTGTTCACACAAAATTGCCTTAAGTAATCATTTACTCTTAGTTCCCAAAATCTTTTACTTTAAGATCATCTGTAATACCATTTTCCCTCATATTTATTTATACAGGAAAAAAAAAAGTTACAAATTCTAGAATTAAAAAAAAATTTGGCACAAATTTGATATGACAGTGTCCATTCATACCCCTTTAATACATGTTTTTAACAATACAAGGAAGGTAAATTATGGGAGTTATGGTTAGCTAATTAACTGCATTTCAATAACACAGTGACTAAGTACAAAATCAAGGAGAAATCCAGCTGTATCATTTACTAAAGTAAAGTTTTTTCAGTGAAAAAAAAATTTCTATTCCTCTTACTTTACTGAAGTTGTACTACACAGAAGGGAACAAACTGTTAAAAA